TTATTATTATTACATTTGGGTACGGCACAATAATAGGATAAATTAGAAGAATTTTATTCGGTTTATTGCTCGATTGCACCTATAATATATATTTTGTAGAGCATGTATGGGTGTTTGCATGTATACATGTAAGAATAAGAGAAATAAATTAGTATATTCTGCATCCTCTTCGGTTCAAACGATCGAATAAATATTTGGATGAAGCGTCGATTGATAAGAAGAAATGTAAAAAGAAATAAGTAATTTTCATTTACTGCCTGGCATGGTGGAGTATGGCGATTATGACGTTATTTAATTTAATATCCTTTAAGAAGTCAATTTAAAGTTTTGCATTTCCTTGTCGGTTCAAGTTGTTTTCGAGTATGGTTGGTTTCTAGTTTGTGCTTCTCACGAAAAAATGTATATTCGGTGAGAGTGGAGGAGTTAGATGTTCAATGTTCAATTATAGAATCACACTCCTCGCATTGAGGGGCTGGCTTTTTTTGCCAGTCTGTGTCGAATTTTTAATTCCTGGAGATGGCAACTTCGTTCTTATTCGTCTTCCCATTCACTTCGTTTCCTTTTTCCCTTGTTAGATCGTCCAAATGTGATTTTTTGTTCGTTCATCGCGGTGAAGGAGTTAGCCAATTAGATGGCCAATGGTAATATTCAGATGAGTTTAATTGTGTTTCCCTTCGATTTGGGTTTCTGATAGCTTTTCAAGCCTGTTGATCCTCGTGTTGAGAGAATTCTTTGACATTTGATTTGATTCTGCGGATAATAAATATTTAACCAACGATGGATGAGCATCAAATAAATGTAAAACAGCGATTCGATTTTGAAAAACGTACAAAGTTTGCTCAACGTTATATACGCCTTCTCTGGCTGCTTTATCCTCAATTAGTCACGCGACTCGAGCGTTTAAACGTTTCGAAAAGCGTACAAGTCCTCCTCCACGGGGTCCGCTTTGAGGTGAGACTCGAGCGTGAATCGATCGAGGTGAGCGGGCGGAAAATTATGAGGAAATACGTGGAAACACAGAGAGCCGGCAGAAGATAATCCGTTTGGACGAGATTCCAGCGTGGCCGGCCCGCGAGACGCGTGTAATCCGAGCAACATTACCCGAAAAGTTTTAAAAGCGGGGCTAATTAAACGCCGAGCCGCAAACCCCTTTTGCCGGGCCTCGATGAATTTAACCAACTTTAAAAGATCCCCGAAGAATGCAAACCCTCCCAGTGAAACACGAGGGTCAAGGTTTCCCCAAACTTGGTTAAGGAAACGAGGCTTTGAGACTTGAAGGAAAAAAAAAAAAAAAGCCTTGGAACATGTTGGAGAAATGTGTGAAACGCAGCGTGTTATTAATTTTATATTCCTTTTTCAAGAACTCTCGAACAATTTTTACATGGAAATTGGAAATAATTTTAAAATATTCCTCCTTTTTAAATTTTTCTAAACACGGATCATAGGTCCAAATTGAAATCTCTCCGTGTTTATTAACGACGGATTTAATATCTCCGCGTTTCGAGCATCCTCTGAATATGTGCAAATTATGTTTTTCCACTCGTTTTTTCTTTTTTTTTTTTTTTCCCCTCCCCTTTCTTCAATTTGGCGTGTTGCTACACTCGAATCGAACGCTTAAGCGTTTTTATCGTTCTCGGTAATGAGATCGGTATGCAGACCTCTTAAAACGAATATCGTGCAGGCCGATTTCGAGTGTGCTCGAACAGATGAAAATGTTTGTTAATCCAGCGACTTCATAAGTATCATGCATTCGAGAGGGCCGCTTTTATAGCTCGCGTGTAATATCGATAATATCGTTAAACGGAAGAACCTGTGAAATTCGTGATTCGATGATACACGCACAGAGTTTATATATGCGTGTGTATATGTATATTTTCGATTGATATTTCGAAAACGCTTTTCAACTATAAATCGAAACGAGTAATAAATCGTCGAAAAACTACTAACACGTGATAAGTGGACATTACGTATTTGAATCTGAGAAGATGTAATTTTAATTCAGAAGAAAGTGTGATTCATTCGAAATGTTTTTTAAATTTTGTATCGTTTGAGGAAAAAAAGACATGTCATTGACATGAATTTCTTTCTGCAACTCGCTTAACTGGAACGAAATCAAAACTATATGGATTTTTTTTCTCGATCGATATTTCGAAAACGTTTTTCATCTCAACAAATCGAAAACGTTATTAATACGTAATTTGAATCTGAGAAGATGTAATTTTAATTCAGGAGAAAGTGTGATTCATTCGAAATGTTTTTTAAATTTTGTATCGTTTGAGAAAAAAAAGACATGTCATTGACATGAATTTCTTTCTGCAACTCCTTAACTGGAACGAAATCAGAACTTATTTTGATTTTTTTTTTTTTCTTTCTGTTGCAGCATAATGAACAACAACAGCGTGGAGCAGCCAGATCCCGACAACATAAAAATGTTCGTCGGCCAGGTGCCTCACGATATGGATGAAAACGATCTGAGGAAGTTGTTCGAGGAGTTCGGTCGGGTGCATCAGATAAACATCTTGCGCGACAAGATCACCGGAAGTCATAGAGGTAAGCGTCGTCCTTGGCGTATTCATGAATCGCTCTTGCGCCGACTCGAGAAATGCTGCGCGTAGTTTTTTTTATCTTTTATCGATCAACTTCGTTGTTGCGAGTTTATCATGTACCAAACATTTAAAAAAGAAATCTTATTCCTTATTCCAAGTTAACAAAGTTGAAAAAAACTTATTGTTCGTTTCCTCGTCGAAAGACAATATTTTTTGAAAGAATAAATAATTGGCAGGCGAAGAAACGATTCGAAGAAAAAAAGGAGGGGGATCTTTATATCGAGATTCGCGATCATCGCGTTGGTCAGAAAGCCTCGTTAATTTAATTATTCGACTTTTTTCTCTTTCTCTCTCTCTCTCCTTTTTCTCCCCCCAGTTTAATCCAGTTTATCGCAATATTCGATAACGAACCGAATTTTCATTAGTCGACCGCGTGGCAAGAGGTACTTTAATCTTGCTGCGGTTCTATTAACTACACCGCTCCCGATAATCGGCACGGAATTGAATTGTCTCGCGGCATTTATTTTTAATCCGCGCCAGTTCTTCGCGGCAAAAATTCATCGACGAACGGTTGGTTAATCGCGTTGCCACCGTCGCTCTTCCATTTTTTTTTTTTCATTTTCCACTCCCCTCCATCCCCCTGGGGATCTATCCATTATCGGTATGTAACCGGGTTAATGTCGATCTCGCGACACTACGAAAATTTTGATTGAGAAACTGTTTTTGAAATATCGACAATGTGAATGTTAACGGAATGTTTATTTGATTTTTTTCTTTTTCAATTCATCGTTGTAAATATTAATATTATAACAATTGCAATCGAATTGTGAAGGTTAATTGATATCGGAGAATCGTTTGTTTCGTGGAACAATTCCTGTGAAACCGTGATATTCACGATTAAAGAATCGTGTTCGATTCGTTTATCTTCGTCCTTTTACAAATCTCCTTTTCGATAACTCGACACGAAAACCGTGTCTACGAGTTGTGAACGGGGTACGGTAATGAATAATAATCGGACAAAGAAACGGGCACGACGAGTGAGAAGGAGGGGTAGGGGAGGGGGAAGGCGAATTTATCGAGAGTGATCACTTTCCAGCCATTGTGAGAAAGGATGGATGGGTATGGCGAAGGGAAATCGTGACTGCAATGATCGACCACCAAGTTGGCGATGAAACGTCATTCTCGTGACAAGCGGAAAGGGGACGATGACATGGACGATGGCCAGGAAGGAAACATTAGGGATCCGATCGTACAACGTAATTCCAATATAAAATTCTTCTCTTAAATTTTCTCCTCCTAGATCTTTTGATTATTTTGGATCTTTGGATTATTATCAATTGTGTGATATGAATTTTTCCCCAAGTCTTCCCCCAAGAAATCTGCAACAATCCCTTAACACATGTTTGTCGCCATATATATTATACGGTTGACGCTTTCTTCTTCGAGAAAAATAAGACTTTAACTATTTATATTTGTGCTCGTATTTAAGAAGGTTATCGATCAAGTAACAAGAGAATGTTATATTATATTATATATAATTATATCCTACATATATTTATTAATATTTATCAATGTAAATATATGTATAATAATAAAATATAGGATAGGATAATAATAAAATATATAACTTTGGAATCACAGAATTAAAAATGTAAGAATAATAGTAACAGAAAAGAGGGACAAGTATGACTTTTATACAATTTTATTACGTTAAATCTAAAATTATAATGTGTATGGTAGCATAGCAGGGTGTCGTTACCACCGATAACATAGAACTGAGTTGAAGTTGCCAATTAGAGGGCTTATTATCAGACGCCAAAATATTTAAAATCAACTTTGGAAACGAACGAAGTAGGGAAGCGAAGAAGTAGAGAAAACAATAACATCTAATTCAGAATCGGTATTACAGAATTGGTTAATGAAAACTAAGAACTAATATATTTGGGCCCAGTGAGGAACTCGACGAAATCCCGACGAACGCGTTAAAACAAGTCATTAGCATCGACAACCTCCTCTCTCTCTCTCTCTCCTCGTCACTGTGTCACTCGTCTCGACGAAGGTCGACGCCGAGGTCGTCGATAACGAATACAGGAAACGGAGGAGAGGAGAAGAGACAGAAAGTAAGTGGTATACGTGGGACACGCGAGGATCGATGCCCAGACAGAAACGTTGGTCGTCGTCGGCTGCCACTTCTCGAGCTATTGATCGAACCAACTCGGTGTGTCCCTTGGCCTTTTACGCCGTTACGTCGAACGTATCCTCCTCCTCTCTACACACACATATATATATATATATACATAGCTACCTGTGTGTGTGTGTGTGTGCCCATACGAAACCTCGTGGAGAAGGTTCCACCAGTCGTGGAATCGCGTGGAATTCGAAATTTGCCTTTCATAACCGCGAATATCCGATCCACTTCTCTCCGTGTTTACCTTGGTTCCTGGATCTGGACTCGACCGACGTCGATGAAAGACGCTCGCGTTCTCTTCTCGTGCTGCTGCCTTTGGAAGTGTAACTGGAATAGTACTTTTCGATGATTAAATTTTTGGAAATTTCATTTTGTATTTTCGTGCGAGTAAGTATTTGGAATTTGTTCGATTCGTTTGATGTATCACGTCGTGGATTTTGTGGTGATTTCTGGCGACGCCATTGCTTGCGCTTTCCTCTGTAAATGTTCGTTGCAGTTATAGTCGAGAATTTCTCGAGTGGAATGATTAAATGGCAAATTTTTGAATTCGAAATTTCGATTCGTTTTTATGCTTTTTTGCGAATTTTGCCGAACATCGTTTCCAATGTTACTTGACTTTTTTGTTTTTTCGTGTTAAGTATTTGTGAAAATAGTTGAGAGTAATTTTTTTTTTAAGAACTTGTCGTTTTCTCATACATGCGTTGATCGATGAAAGTAGCCAATAAGAACAATCCTTCGAGCAGGATTAATGATCATTTTAGAAATTTCATGGCTCAAAGAATTTCGATTTATTTGATGATTTATTTTCGAGGTGTACGAAGAACAGACGTCGAGATAATTTTACTTTTTGCCAATTAACAAATTTGAAGAATTTGGAAAGAGACGTATCGCAGTTTAATCGTCACATTTATCGTTTAAATTTTTATATCCTGAAAATATCCTGTTCTTTTTCAAAGTATAACGAGTAAAATTTCTTCCTAATCAACACGATATCGATCAACGTGATTAACTGAAATTTATAATCAATCAAGACTTTTCCATCGCAATATCTTCAATCACCGTCTCATCCGGCTATTAATTTTTATCGATTAAATCGTATTTCCACCCGGTATCGGATAATATATTTTCGGCATTGATAATTGGAAACGACAAAATTGAAATTGAAGCTAAATGGAAGAAAATATGGTTGAGCCGGTGAAATCGAGATAACCGAGGCGCAAGGAAATAATTAAAATAGAAGCTTACAAATGTCGATACGGGAATATTAATGCGAAATATTTCGTGATACAAGCTTGCCGAGGGAAGGAAATATTCACTCGCGATAAGCTGGAAAGATAGTTTTTAATTGTTCCTTGCCACGATACATTTCGTTCGAAAAGTTTCCACGCGGATAGAGAGAGAGAGAGAGAGAGAGAGAGAGAGAGAGAGAGAGAGAAGAGAGAGAGGTTT